CATGCCTGTATGTATTGTATGTATATAAAAGAATAATTATTTTTTTTTAACAGTGAAATACTTTTATTTCTTAAAATGTAAAAAAATGTTTTCCCTCAGTGATAAAGAAAAATAGCTCATTCTAAAAGAATATTCTAAAAGAATAATACATTAAATCAGTCAAACTACATTATAATCCTTGGAAAACTTGCAGCTTGTGCCAGAGCAGAGCATGCCTTGGCCAAATCCAGTTTATGGTCCTCTAATAGTGCTGCCCTCAACTTCAAAGTGGTTTTTATGCCATTTAGCTTCAGTCAAGAAGTTAAGCTAGGTGAGGCTCAGATGATGACTCCAAATCATTCGGGTCCTGGTTGTGGCAGATGGATGGAGCCTCCTCTTTGGACAGCAGATTGTTTTTGCGGAGTTTGCATGCCTGCTGGTAAGGTGGGCATATTGGAGGCTGGGTAGGGGGGGTGTACTGATACTGCTTATCACTGAGCTGGAAAGGGCAGAAACATTATTTTAAGAATAAAAGTAATCAGATAAGTGCATGGATCACTTCAAAACAAAAATAAACAGATTCTATTAATTCTATAAGAGACTAGGTAAAGGCATTGTGTAAACAGAAAAATAAAGAGCTAACACCATCTTTATGTACACAAAGTATGTAAACAAAAAGTACTAAGACTGGTCCTACTTAGTAGCAAAGCACAGCTAATACAGAATTATTGGTTCCCTTTCTCTGTGTCAGTGAGCAATGTTTCATGTTTATTCCTTTACAAAACACACTTGATTAATGGTGGATACAAATTCAAAACACGAGGAAGAGGAAGATATATAGATCTCACAAATAAATAGTCGTATATGTTCTGTTAATTTGTTAAAATCAAACAAAGAGACCAGTCACTGTGGAGAGTAAAGCAAATGCACGCAATCAGCTGCAGTGATCCATCAAATGGGATGGCCAACCTATCTATGGTTGCACTGATTTAAAATGGAAAAACAACTAATATTTTTATATGGGAGGAAAAAAACACACCAATAAAAAGGTACACAAGAGGAACATTGACATTACAAAGCTTCTTACCTGCAGGGGGTAGGTTCTGTCTGAGTCAAAGGCGCTTAAATCACCACATGCCAGGAAGGGAACAATGATGCGGTTTGGCCCCTCTAACTGATTAAAGTCCACATCTAAAGGGCAGAGACGAGAGGACGGATTGAATAGAATTACATGCATTTGCTCCAGTAGAGGCTGGGGCTGCGTTCTGCATGCACTAGCTATTCTAAAGAGAATGTCAACAAAGTCAGTCAAACTTTATCAATAGAACACAAACCAGCGTCCTGACAACTCTGTTCACTCCCAAAATAAACAGCCATTTTATCATTTTTCCCGAGCTAATGCCAGTGACGTAGTTTATCTTTGAACAACAACAATGTATAATAGGTAGTGCAGCATTCTGATCAGGTAGTGGAGGGGAGCTTTTCTTCCATTCAGTAAACACCTAAAGTCTGATACGTTACAGTGAATAAGATGTTAGTCAATCACAATGTGGTAACTCTGGAAATAGTGCAAAGCAACAAACAATAACTCAACGTTGTTCCAATGTTAATGTCCACATTCACAACATGACCAACCATCTGCAGCTGCACAAAATTAAATTAAATGAAAATGCACGCTTGGCGCAGTCATATTTCCCAGAATGCAGCTTCTTCTACAGAAAAAATGGAGTCGGCTGCTTCCCGTAGTTGCAGACCTGTTGCAGCTCAATCTTAATCTAATCGGTTTTTGAGAAAATTGAAGGCTTAGGTGCCTTTTAGTGCGGAAAACACGGTACTCATAAATTTCATTGGTCTACTGTTTTTGGCGCCATGAAAAAAAAAACTCTTATCAGCCGCACCGTATTATAGGCCGCAGTGTTAAAAGTGTGGGGAAAAAGTAGCGGCTTATAATTTACGGTAAATAGAAAAGCAGGTTATACACAAATAGAGAGTCCTTCCAATACAGTGTAAAACAGCTTCTTTAACTTCGGAGGCAGAGAAATGGTTGAAAGCACTCTTATTGATACTGGTCTTTCCAATAGATATCCATCCATCCATTGTTTCATAAGCTTATTCCTAGTAGGGGCTGGATGTCTATCCCTGACGCAAAGATTCACCACACACACATTCCCAGGGGGCAATTCTGGAGTTCACAGTCATCCTAAAATGCCTGTTTCTGGACTATGACAGGAAGCTGGAGTAAACTGAGTCAACCCCCACGTACACAGGGAAACATGCAATTCCACACAAAGGCCCGTCCCCCAAGGTTTAGAACTCAGAACACTCTTTAGTCAATGGTGCCAACCACCCCACCACCATGCCGCCTTTTGGATAACTTCTTTGAGTTAATAGATAACTACATTTCCATTCTGCACACTCACTTACCATAGCAATGATCTAGCAGAGGGTTTGACATGTTGGGCACATAACCCTCAGGAGGAGAATAATTCTGGCACACCACAAATGCCTCTGCACATAAAGAGACAGATCCATGTAGAATTTAGGAAGAGAGTGCATTAAAAGCAATGACATGTAAATCAGTGTGAAAATCAGCAATAATCATTATTATGGTTGAAAAACACATTCATTTTGATCTGGATGAAAGTAATGAAAAAATGTTGACATATGCATAAAATCAAGGAAAATGAGACAAACATTACAACAAAACATCTGAGGATAAAATTTCAGAAAAAAAGCCCTAAATGGCAGAACCCCGTGGGCACCGCGGCGTCCAGCTCACAGCAGCAGCGGGACTCACCGATGCTGGAGTTTCTGCTGCTGCGAGGCTTGGCACAGCTCACACTGCTGAAGAAGATCTTCAGCTGGGAGTACAGC